ACATCTATCATGAAGAACGACAACCAGCTCTTCATTATGCGACATGGCTTCTTGGAGGAAACCTTCTTTTCATGGTCAATCATTCCATTGCTGGGAAGCGACGGTCAGATTGTCGGTCTTTACAACCCTGCGTTTGAGAACACCCGCCGCAAGGTCAACGAACGCCGCATGTTGACGTTGAGAGAGGTTGGCGAGAAGACCGCGGCCGCTAAGGATGTCCGGAACTTTTGGCCAAGGGTTCGCGAAGGCCTCGAATTCAATGACTTGGACGTGCCCTTCGCCCTTATTTATTCTGTCAAGGAGGACAACGAGAGCGAGGTGTCTTCAATGCATTCCGGCAGTATAGCACACCCGCCTCTTTTGCAACTTGAAGGCTCCTTGGGTGTTCCTGACGGGCATCCGACAGCCCTCACCCATCTGGATCTCAAGTCCTCAGATGAGGGCTTTGCGCCGTATATGCGTCAGTCTATGACCATGCAGGGTGCGCCCATTGTTCTCTCCCAAGAAGCCGGCAACCTTCCGACCAAGCTGCTCGAGGGCATGGATTGGAGAGGTTTCGGTGACCCATCGAAAACAATTGTCATCTTGCCTGTGCATCCTACAACGGCAGGAGAGTCGGTGGTGGGCTTCATCGTCTTGGGTACTAACCCCCGCAGACCATACGACGACGACTACCAGCTTTTCATTCATCTACTCTCCAGACAGCTGGCGACCTCGATGGCCTCAGTTGTGCTATTCGAAGAGGAAATTAAGCGGGGCCAGAGGGCCGCTCGTCTTGCTGCACTGGATCGCCAAGAGCTGCAGATGGAGCTTTACTTGAGAACCCAAGAGGCGGTGGAAAGCGAGTACAAGTTTAGCCGAATGGCCGAGTTTGCACCAGTTGGCATCTTTATTGCTAATGACAATGGCCATATCAACTTCGCCAATGATATGTGGTGGCAAATATCCAGGCATCCGCGCACCGAAGACAGCGTCAATACATGGATGCAAAGTGTCAGGGAGGAAGACCGTTCAGGTCTTGAACGCTCATGGAAGAAGCTTATCGAAGACAAGGAGGCTGTTACCGTCGAATTCCGATTCAAATGCAGTCGGCAAAACGGACGCAACACCATCGACACATGGGTGTTGATGAGTGCATTCCCGGAGAAGACCGAGCACGGCACCCTCAAGAGCATCTTTGGCTGTATCACCGACATTTCGCCGCAGAAATGGGCCGAGGATTTCCAGAAGCAACGAAGAGAGGAAGCGGTGGAACTCAAGCGACAGCAGGAGAACTTCATCGACATCACCAGTCACGAGATGCGCAACCCCCTTAGTGCGGTGCTTCAGTGCGCAGACGAGATTGTCAACAGCATCACGGAGTTCCGAGGACAACAACCAGACCATAAGGAGCTCGAGGTGTTGTTGGACGGCTGTACGGAGGCTGCCAACACAATCAACCTCTGCGCTAGCCACCAGAAACGCATCGTAGATGATGTTCTGACACTCTCCAAGTTGGACTCTCAACTGTTGTTGGTAACGCCGGTTGACTCACACCCCGTCACGATTGTACGACACGTCATCAAGATGTTCGAGTCGGAGTTGAGCACGCATGACATTCGTCTGGAATTCTCAATTGAGCAGGCATTTTACAAGCATGCTGTTGACTGGGTCAGGTTAGACCCGTCTAGGCTAAGACAAGTCTTGATCAACCTGATGACCAACGCTATCAAGTTCACCCAAGGCCGTGAAAAGCGCGAGATCATCATGAGCATGAGCGCCTCCAAAGATATCCGCGAAGTTACCCAGAAGGGTGTTTCATTCTTCCCCAGCCGTAAGGAGGATGTCAAGGCTCTGACCCAAGAAAAGGATTGGGGCGAGGGAGAAGAAATCAATCTTCACTTTTCGGTCCAGGATACAGGCCCTGGCCTTCGGGAAGACGAGAAGAAGCTCCTGTTCCAGAGGTTCTCGCAAGCCTCACCGCGTACCCACGTGCAGTATGGCGGCTCAGGTCTGGGCTTGTTCATCTCGCGAATGCTTGCTGAATTACAAGGCGGCCAAATCGGCGTCATCTCGGAGAAGGGTATTGGTAGCACTTTTGCATTCTACGTGAAGTGCCGCAAGACGCCCGCACCGAGCGTAGACTCGACAACATTATCGGCTTTGAACCTCGCCAGACCGATCAAAGCACCGACATCTTCGCCATCAACACCCCCTCCCCCGAATTCTCTGCCACGGAGGGCATCCTACCGGAAGCCTGTGCCAGAGGGACCTCCACCTCTGGACGTCTTGATTGTGGAAGACAACATTGTGAACCAGCGAGTTCTCCAGAAGCAATTAAGGAACTGTGGCAACAACACGCATGTTGCGAACCACGGCGGGGAAGCGCTAGATCAACTCAAGAAGTCTCGTTTCTGGTCTGGAAAAGAGGCGGAAGGTTTCGACCTCAGCGTTATTCTGATGGATCTAGAGATGCCGGTCATGGATGGCATGACGTGCGCGAGGCGCATTCGCGAATTGGAGAGGGAAGGAACTCTCATCACTCACATCCCCATCATTGCCGTTACGGCTTACGCGCGGCCTGAGCAAATCGAGAGCGCGAAAGAAGCCGGCATTGTAAGTGAACTTTTCCCGGTACCTCAACCCGGGCTCCACTAACATGTTTACAGGATGACGTGATTTCCAAGCCATTCAGAATACCTGAATTGATACCCAAGATCAATGAGTTGATTGCAAAATACAAGACACTATCTACCACAAAGACTGCCGTCTCAACTGAGGGGCAGAGTTCGGCATACTCAATTAGAGCTTGACACCAGCAAGCCGAGTCGTGTCATCATGAGCATTCAGAGTGCCCGGATACCGGGCCCGAAGCGGGGGTTGGGCTTCCTTTTACATTTCTGGCCGCAGTCTCTATCGCACAGAGAGACTAGCCAGATTGGCGTTCATAGGGGGCATTGGCATCAAAAGACCCTGGAGGATGGGTTGGTTTAATTGGTTATGAGGCTGGCATTTCAGAGACGGAAGCATCCGGAGAATCAAAGATATGGAGTCTGGAGCGGATTGCATACGGATGAGAACGCAAAACTGGTATACCGGCGGCGGGTGTTAACCCATTGACAATGAAATATTTCTCGACATATTCATAGTGCGATACGTCCAAAACGTATTGTGTAGATCCTTGTGGGCTATGGTACGTGAGCGTTGTTGGGTTGATGCATCCAGTAATGACCTACCTAAACACGAACCAACATGTTCGAGTTCAGCAACTCTTTTTTCATGATAGACTCTCGGCGTTGGAAAGCCAAGCCAGAATATGATTCTTTTTTATCAATCCTAGTGCCTGATTGGGTAGCTTTACTAGACACGGGGTCGTGATGTTGAAGGCCTCTCCCCCTACGTTCCCCGAGTACTCAGACCCACCCACACCTGCTTACCTAACCGCGAATATTTCTCAAGCTTCAAACCTCACCTCAGTCCAGCAGCAACCACGACGGCCACGCCAAAGCAACGCATCGCGGCCTCGGTCCTCAAAACCTCCAACAATGCACCCCCAGGCCCTGCGATCGGCCGGCGGCCGCATAAGGCCAGACGTCGTTGCCGTCAAATCATACATCCGCACCTTTTCCACCACACAATTGCGCCTCGCCGAGTCCGACTCCTCGAACAACTCCAACGGCAATGGTGCCCCGACGAGAGCACCACTCTCCGGCCGCGAACGATCCCGCAACGCCGCGAGCGAAATCAGCCAGATTCTGAGCAGCGGATCGACCAGAGGAGTGTCCAAACCCGACAACACAACTGCGGCTCAGCCCGCGCGCGTCATCGACGTCAAGACACTGCCGAAGCGCGGCCTCGGCGGTGGCCTGGGCAGCGGCCTGGGCGGCGGTCCGGGCAGCAGCTCAGGCGGTTCCAACTTCGTCAAGCTTCCCACCAGCTTCCGCGGCCGTGGCGGCGGTCTTGGTGCCAGGGGTGGTGGCCGTGGCGGATTCGGCGAAGGCAGAGGCGGTGGATTCCAGCGCGGCCGCGGCGGCTTCGGTCGTGGTGGAGGACGGGGCGGCATGATGAGAGGCCGCGGCGGCCGTGGAGGTCGTGGCGGTCGTGGAGGCCGTGGCGGTCGCGGCAGACGTAATGCGGACGGCGAGGAGGATCGGAGGGAGCCGAAGTCGACCGAAGCAGAGGAATGGCACCGCCCGACGACGGAGGAGGAGCACCTGTACTACCGCAAGCGCGACATCGGGCTGCCGGAGCGCTTCGAGCCCCGCTTGACCGCGGAGAGCCTGCTCGCCTTCACACCGGCGCTGGCGACGGGCGCACCGGCGGACCAGGCGGTGCAGGTGATCGATGCGCTGAGGGAGGTCGGCGGCGGGGCGAAGCCTGCGCCGGGCGTGTGGGCGCTGCCGAGGCACGTGGCGACGGAGCTCGCGTACCGCGGCAACGGGGCGCACTTCTTTGACGATGTGGAGGACAAGAGGGCGTTTGTGGATGCGATCAAGAACACGCCGCAGGAGAAGATGACGACGAACATGAGGGTCGTCAAGAGGTCCCCCGAGCAGCTGGAGGCCGGCGCGGAGAAGGCCGTGAGGGAGTACATCATGGACAAGGTCGTCAAGGGTCAGCATGTGAGGCCCGAGTTTGTGGAGTTGGGGGCGAAGCAGCCGCTGGAGGTCGCGCGGGCGAAGCACCTGCAGAACTCGAGCTACCACGCGATTGAGAGCGGCAAGTTTGACGAGAAGCTTGCGCAGCTTGTCAACCGGGCCAAGGGTGCCGCTAAGCCTGCTGCTGCTGCGGGTGCCAAGGCATGAGTGTGGTGGCATCGAGAGCATTTGTATGATTAAGGACCCCCTCAAAACAAAAAGGAGAAACACGAACGTTGTTGTACATTTAGATACAAAGTCTCTTCTACCTCAACTCTGTGAGGCTCGTGATAAATTCGCTCCCTGATGACAGGACACAAGGAGAAAAAAAGAGGGAAACGTGAACTCTTTTTAACAGTTTTGTATACACACAGGTCATCACATCTACGTGAGCTTTCTGATAGTCTGCTCCTCCACCGCATCGACGCCCTTCATCTCCTTGTCCTGAATCTTCTTCAACTCCGTGTCCGCGCGCCGCTTCAGGTCCGGCACGATGAGCTTGTCCTTGTTCCACTTGGTGTGCAGCTTCTTGCGCTTCTCCGTGACGGCGCGCATCTTCTCGCGCCACGCCTGCGCGGCGTCCTTCGCCTTGCGCACGACGGCGTCCTTGTTCTGCGGCTCGACCTTGAGGATCAGCTCGAGCTCGTTGTCCGGGTCGCGCTGCGGCTGCTGGTTGAAGTCGGGCGACGCCTGCACGGCGGACATGACGGGCTTGAGGTAGTCCTTCTCGTGCAGCAGGAGAGAAACGGTGCGGCCGCCGGGGCGGGGCACGATCTCGGCGAGCTCGCGGAGGGGGTAGGACTGCGCGGGGTCCTTCTTGTCGGGGTGCACGGCCAGGGCGCCGATGGCGTCCGGGGAGAAGCGGTCGCCTGTCTGCATCTTCTTGAGGATGTCCATGTGGTGCGTGGCGAGGGAGGCGAAGCGGGAGGCGACATCGCCGAAGTCGAGGGGGTCGGCGGGGTCTGGCTTCGGGTGCTTGGAGCCAGAGGGGTCGTCTGGGTCGGCGTCGTGGTCGGGCGCGGCGTGGGATGTGCGGGAGACGACGGCGGGGGAGTCGGCGGTCGGGTAGGAGGGGGGAGATTTCTTCTTCTTCTCGAGGGGAGGGCTGGAGGTGAAGGTGCGGCGGAGGAGGAGGGTTTGGGATGCGATTAGGCGGGGAGCCTGGGTTTGGCTGCGGGTTTGTCTTGGTCAATTGAGTGATTGCTTGGAGATGGAGAGGGTATTTACCTTCGCGAAGCTTGGGCGAGGCCATTGGCGCCGCGGAGGAGCGTGCTGGTGGCTCTGAAGGGGCGCATCTTGGGTGGTGGTGGTGTGGTGTTTTTGGGTGCAGCCGTTTTGAAGCTTGGAGCTTCACAGTTTGAAGCTGGTGTGACGTCGGATTTTGGCTGGGACCCGCCAAGCTTCGGTCAGGTCACCTACCGGCGCTTTTCAGTTAGTCAGCACTTTTTTGCCCATGGGCAGATCATGAACAGGTGGAAGAGTATAAGTCGTAAATACAATTAAGTTAAGGTCATGTTTGTTTGTTTATCAAGTGAATGTTTCGAGTGGTTGTGGCATGGTCACGCTTGGGATGGGGAGAGATCTTGGGTTCTTGAGAAACACTGTGTTTTGATCTATCTACTAGCTACAACCTTCACGTATCCTGGCGTCGCATCGATAAAGTCGGACTGTTCCTCAAGAGGACTGCTCGTCGGAGAAACTGCAGCAGCCCGATGTTTTATAGCCTGGGGTATCATGAGGTTAGTCGTAATCCTCCACATGCTGGTATAAACATGCTTCGCAGGAACCGTTCCTCCACACGCCTGGCAAGGGATGCTTCGTAGGAACAATCCTCCACACGCCCACTGAGGACGCGCTTCGCAGGATGCTTTCCTCCACGCATTCAAGAAGAATGGGCTTCACAGGAAATTAAAGGTTTGGAAGGGGGGACGTACCTTATGATCAGGTCTCCTTGCAAGTGCGGTGCTTGCTGTCAAGGGGACGACCTGTTAGTCGGCATTCTCCACGTGTGTTCCGGCGTAACACGCTTCGCAGAATGTTTTTGGAAGTTTTGGTTCACATACCATGACATCAGAGCCATTCACAAGCGCTGGGCGGTCTGTTGGAAGGGGGGAACGGTCAGTCGAGACATTCTCCACGTGCATACACACGCTTCGCAGAATGCTTCCGCCGCGGGAGGACATACCTTGAAAGATCTAACCGATGGTTTGATCGGCGAGAATGTCCGAGTCGCCAGCATCGAGGATGACCATGGTGCCGCAGCGGAAGAGACGGCCGCAGGCGGTTCCCATCTCGATATTGGTGCCGTTGAAATGGTGGACGGGCACCTTGGCCAGCATCGCGTAGTCTGTGACCAGTCAGTACATGGAAAGCCTGCCATCACAGAGGCAGGATTTTGCTTACACTCAAGCTCCGACTTGCGAAGGGGAGGGGCGTTGGCGGCGATGAGGACCAGCTTGGCCTTGCCGGTGCGCAGGGCTTTCTTGGTACTGGCGTGGCCGAGGGAGATTTTGCCTGACTTCACTACGAGAGCGAGACGCTGGGCGAGGGTGTCGCTAGCCTTGTTCTTGACGCGAGCCATTTTTGAGAGTTATTGGGGAAGGATATGGAAATTTGAGGGTGAAAATAGAGGTTGTTTGTTGTGGTTGGCGGAATAAACTTGAGAATCAGAGTGGGAGGAAGAAATTTTGAGTTCCTTTCTTAACTACCCCGCTAGCGTCACGTGGGGGCTGTTAGTACTTCTCAGTTGCAGTTTGCGAAGGGTAGAAAGGTTGAAAACGATACCGCAATATCTTCTTTTCCTTTTCCCGTTCCTGTTTTCCAAAGACATCTTGATTTTATAAATTCTGGGGGAATCTGAAGTTGTTGCATCCGATGGAAGGGGAGACAACGCTACAGGGAAATTTCCATCTTGTCCTCGATGAATCGAGGACGCCTGCGCACCTGCAGACCAAATACGCTGTATGCTTCATCCCAGTGAATAATCATAGAACATAGGGGCTTAGAATTAATTACTTTAGACAACATCGCCAGTTCGCGTGGGACTTAACACGAAGGTGTGGTACTACAGGTAGGTAGTAAGTTTCGTTGTCAACTCTTTCCTCCACCAAAATTGAAGCTCAACGGGCGACGCCCGATGGTCCCCTCAAGCTCCTCATTCCCCACGTCATTCGAACCAATGTTCATTTGATGTCGCAGGCAATATCTAAACAGATCACGGCTTGGAACTCCAAACGATCAAGAAAGCGTTAATACGCTGGTGCATGTGAGTTTGTTGCTGGTCTGAGACAGCAACAGATTCCGCGCTCCTTAGGTGCTAAAAGTTCCCAGCCAACTAACACTGGTCGATTGGCCCAGCGGTTTAAGGCATCTGCTTTACACGCAGAGGATCGCAGGTTCGATCCCTGCATCGATCATCTCATTTTGCCATTTTGCTCGACATGCACTCGGTCCTAGCACACCGCAGCAAGCATACGCTGGGACGCAGACAACGGAATGCTTCAATTAGATGACTGCCTTTATGGTGATGCGCCTGGTGGTTTTTTATGTGGATGCTGCCATCTGACTTTTCAGGAAAACAACCACGATCTGAATGAAATACCACGATAAAAAAGATGAGACCCGAAGTGGATGTTCGGACTGAGTGAACAAACATGAGCAAAGAAATAGCTATGTCATTGGCCATCATGACAGTAACACCAGCGCGCAAAGGCCTTAGGAGTATATCCCAGCATGTTGTTATAACATAAGGATATCATTAGGATGATTTCCTTCTTAATTATCTCAATTTCTTGAAAGCCAACTTTTTTTGCACTAGATTTTCTAGTGAGTGTGCAGTACCGACTTGTCGGCAACCCGCCCTTGCAACTCTGGCATCACACTCTGTATCCACCGTAGCTTTTGAGCCTCGGGAACCTCTGCAGTCTTCCTGCACCCCTACTACCCGGTAACAAAACACAGGTCACATTTTCGACGTCTCCTATCATCTTTCAGGTTGCAAAAGGAATTCCAAACACAACGGCTCAACGTTCCTGTATCTGCATTAACCTCTCTACGCGAAGCTATTTTTGGCGCGGGGCGCAACCCGTTTAAGCGCATCTCTCCAACTTTCCGACCAGTCGCGCTTTCCTTGCCCCCAGCACGCGACGTCAGCGGGAATAGCTCTCTTCTTCCCAATAAAAACACCACCCAAACGACTCCATGCCCTCAGAAATGGAGATCGAGGTCGACGACGACCTCTTGCGGACGGTCGCGTCAGGCGGTCACATGGACTAGTAAGCCAATCGCCACTCTCTCCCACCAGATCGACACGCCATCGCTAACCACGTCGCAAAGCGGTCTATGGCCTGCCATGTCGCAAGACATCATCACGAGGCTAGATAAGGTATGTCCCGATCGCCGACCGACCTCAACTCACTCCCGCCTCCCCTCCCTCAAACCGCCCATCCGAAAACTCCTCTTGGCCTCCCGCAGGGCGCGCTCACACGTTCGCTTTGCGAATGTTCTTCTAGATAGCTCACAATGACTTTCCTATCCCGAATCTGCCACCCCTCCCTCAACACATTAACCCACCAGGCCAACAACAACCGCCACCCCTCGAGCCCGCCGCCGAACCCTCGTCGTCACAGGAAGCAGACAAGGAGAACAGCCGACCGACCGCCCCGGCCCCGGCCGCCGAAAGCGATGCGACCGACGCCGCCGCTGCCACAACGGACCCGGGTTCCCTACCGGCCCAGATCGAGGCCATGCTCATCGAGATCAAGTCCGTCCTCGCCAGCTTCCCAAAGTACCCCCCGCATACGATCCAGCGCCTCGCGGAGCTCGTTATCGAGCCACGCCGCCATTACCGCCACCTGGCCTCCTACCTCCACGCCGTCGACCGAGTTGTTCATGTCACCAGCGGCGCAAACATCTACCCCCTCCCGCCCGCCATCCCCGACGTCTCGGCCATGACGCTCCTCTCCAACGGCGCTCTCGGCAGCAATAATAACAGCAACGCAAACGGCTCCTCCTCCCCCCCGGACCCCGCCGCCGCCGTCTCCTGGGGCAACTCGACAAACTCGGTCGCCTCGACCGTCGGCACCGACGAAGCCCTCGGTGGCGCCCTACTAACCCCCATCCCCTGGCTCACGCGGCGGCCCTCCCCGGGCTCCGCCTCGCCCGCCTCCTCCAGCGGCGGCGGCTCCAACAGCGGGCCCGCCGAGATCCGCACCGAGTCCACGGAGACCATCGACGGCCCCAACGGCGTCGGCAGCATCGAGACCGTCAGCGTCAGCGTCAACGGCATTCCGTCCATGGGTGCCACGGGCCACATCAGCACGGCAGGCGGCCCAGCAGCAGGCCCAGCAGGCATAACGCAAGGTGAGTTACTGCGACAGGAGCAGGAGCAGGGCGTCGTTCCAGTCAACCAACTCGCGCGACACACAGAAGAAGCACATCTGCAGGCCGCCGCCCTCCGCGCCGCCGCGGCCGCGGGCGGCTCCTCCTCCCCTGGCAGCGGTGGTGAAAGCGGCGGCGGCAACAGCCCCGAGAAGCAGCAACCTGGCGGTGGTGCTGCGGCTGAAGACGAGAGCGAGGTCCCGCACGCCCGCGGGCCCGAGGAGATTGGCGCCGAGGACCTCGGCCCGCAGAGCGTCACGACGAGCTTCGTCGGCGGCCCGGGCATGGAGATGCAGGGCATCGACGTCGAGGCCGCCGTGGGCCGCAAGGCCGCGTCCAACACGCCCCCGGCGGCTGACGGGGACTCGCAGACGGAGGACGCCTCGTCGGTGACGATGGAGGCGGAATCCACCACTGCCGGCGACGACGCCGCCTCGGAGACGAGCACCGTCACGTCACATTCCAAACGGGATGCGGACGCGGAGCTCGAGGGTCTCGCGAGCAAGAAGATCAAGGAGGGCGATGGGGACGTCGTCACCGCGGGCGAGGATGCTCCCCCGGTGAAGAAGGAAGAAGACGACGACGAGAAGAAGGATGGCGAGGTCAAGGAGGAAGCCGACGCCGAGGTGAAGCCCAAGCAGGAAGACGAGGACGAGGAGGAAGAGGAATCAGAGGCCAAGGTGCCCAAGGTTGAGGACGAGGAGAAGGAGAGAACTGCTCCGCCGCCCGGGATTGAGTAGCGTCTGAATGCTCGCTCTCGTGTATAAGAAGGGGGCCATGATACCATGAACTGTTTTCACCCCGAACCTCTGTTAGTGTGACTGATAATATTCCGACGTGATGGCATTCTCACGAAAAAAGTACGAACGGGACTAAAATCGCACAATTGAAGATGATATCACATGTGATAAAGGTATCTTCGTCAATTGGGCTCATTTTACGCTTATCATACGTCTAACCTTAAGCAAACGTAGTCGTATTGACTACAGTGACCATAAGAAATGACCAGAACGCCATGCTTTTTGTAAACCGTCCTACCCCAATCCGCTGTAAACACCAGAATACGCACATCCCCCTTACAATACTCTGGTAATGCTCTCCTTGGTAATAACACTGTTCTGCTTGTCGTCTCTCCTGACGCGGAAGAAACTGTCGCAGAAGTCGCTGCAGCGCATGTGTCGCAAAAACTCCTCGTCGTGGGTGATGACAATGAGCTGGAAGTTGCTCTGTGCTTGGCGGGCCTTAATGATGGCATGAAGACTCTCGGCGAGACTCTTGATGTTGTCCTTGTCGAGGTTGGTCGTTGGCTCGTCGAGGGCAATGAGGCCGCAGTTGACACCAAAACTCTCTGCGAGAGCTAGGCGAATGATGATACTGGCCAACACCTTCTGTCCAGCGGAGCAGCGGCCACGCATGTCCATCTCCGTGTCCTGCTTGACCATGCAAACCCGATAGTTGTACGAGCGACGGCCAGTAGATGCGTTCTCGTTGTCCGAACGAATCAGGATGGTGTCAATGTCGGTACCTTGGTAGGTACTCTGCCACAGCTCGCCGGCGATACGGTTCACCTCCTCCATCTTGAGACTGTGATACTGCATGATTGCTTTGTCCAGGGCAGCACTATAACGACCCAGATCTTCAATAGCAGCCTTGGTGGTCTCGACTTTGATGTGCGACTCGCGGAACTTCTTCGCCGCGTCCTTGTATTCCTGGTTCCACTCTTCCAGCACTCGCTCCAGCTCTTTGTCCTTAGTCGTCATTTGCCCCATGACAGAGCCGCGTTCGGCAACGAGTCGGCTGTGACGATTCTCCAACTGCTTGGCTTCAGCAGCCAATGTCCTGTAATCCTCGTCGGCATCACGGGCCTCGAGGTCCTGAATGTCACGTCGAAGAACCTCAAGCTGCTGAAGATTCTGGCGGTACTTGATATTGTTGCTAATGTTCTGCTTCTTCCGGTCGCCATTGTCAATGTCTTGCTTGAGCTTATTAGTCCGCACCGTCAAGTCCGAAATCTCCTTGTCCAATCCAGCGATGGATTTCTCGAGAGCGGCAATGGCGCGCTCGTTGGACGCAAGGTTGGACGGGCCGCCTCGGTCGATGTAGTCCTGAATGTCGCACTCGACCATCTTTAGTTCCGTAACGGAGTTGGCAACCTTGTCGCGCTCCTCCACAATGCCCTGCTCCTTGGTACGACCTTTCTGCAGAGTATCGTTTCGCACTGATCTCGCCTCGGTAATCTCAGGCTCGATCTTCTCCAAATCCTCGTCTGCCTTGCTGATCAGTTCTCTCTGGTGAGTTTGGTCATCCTTCAAGGTCTGAATCTGGTTGTGGAAGTCCTTCTTGCGCTCAAGCTGGTTGAGGGCCTTGCTCAGCTTGTTCCTCAGCTCACTCTTCTCCAGCTCCAGAGCGTTGAGCTGATCCTTCATACGTTGACGCTCAGTCGAAGTCTTTAAAATCTTGTTCTTCAACGACCTGATCTGCTCGTTGCACGTTGCCTGGAGTTCGTGGATCTCGTCAGCACTTCGGCTAGCAACGCTCGACGATTGCTGAGACATGATTCTGTCAACCTGAGACTCCGAGTCCTTGATGTCCTTGAGAGCTTGGGTGATTTTAATGACAGTCTTGTTCAGGGAATCAACGTCGTTCAACTTCTCTTCCTCGGCGCTGACGATGGCATCGTGCTCCTCTAGTTGCCTTTCCAGAGCCTCGCATTCAGCTTCCAGCGAGGAGCACTCCTCCTTAACGCCAGGAATCTCGGCCATCAGTCGCTGATATGTTTCGTACTGCGGCTTGACTTTGCGCAGCGAGTTGAGAAGGTTTGTGGAGTTGGCGAGATCCTCCTCTGCCTTCTCCTTCTTGTTAGGGTCGAGGAACTTGACAAGCTTGTCGGAGAACCTTGACTTGGCAACATTCTGCTTATCATCGAACCCACGATCGCAGAGTCGACATTTGTTCTTATCCTGCAAGGTCTTTTGGCAACCACGGTAGTAGTCGGCCAAAGCATCCAAAAGGCTGATGTCGGTTTGGTAGGTTTCCACATCCTCCTCGTGGAGCTTGTACTCCTCTTCGTAGTCCTCGATGGTGGCACCGTCCCGAACTGACTTCAAAGCATTGACCACAGTCTCCTGGCAGCGCGACGCCTCGGCTGTCTTTTTCTGACCGGTCTCCTTGGCACTCTTGAGACGGTAGTCTACTTTTTGATGTTTGTCTCTTGCCGACTCACGCTTTTGACGAGCTTCTGCAAGCACCTTGTTCTGGCTCTTGATGACATCGTGGTATTGCGATTCGAGCGTCTCTGTCTGCCAAGCAGTGCCAACATGCGTGTCCAGCTTGGACTTCCACGTGTTTGTCAGAGTATCCAACTTGCGCTTACGGTCCGATAACTCCTTCTTGCGCAGATCCAGCTGTGCACGCTCGGATGCGAGTCTTGTGCACTCCATCAGCTCACGTCCTAGCTTCTCGTTCTCGCTCTCGAGCTGCCACAGCTTCTCGTTGTCTTGCTGAAGCTGCGCGTCAAAATCAGCAGCAGCCAATGACTCGTTGGCTTTCTTCAACCTGCTCTCGACATCCTCGAACTGGCTGTCCAAGATGGCTTTGGCGCCCTCGTCAATGTCCAAGCGGTTGATGTCCATCTGCAAGACGTTGACACGCTTCTCAATCGCACCCAATCGTTGCTTGGCAAATACTCGGTTCTGGGTCATAGTTGCCTTGCGGCCCTCGAGCTCGGTGATGACGCTCGTGGCCTGGTCCAGCTCGCGGGCGTTCTCCTTCTGTACGCGCTCCAAGTCGCGCTTCTTGTCTGCCAAAAGTTTCTGGATGCGCTCGTTGAAGGTCTTGATCTGGCTGTCCTTCAGGTCACCGTCGTAGCCCCGGAACCCGTGCATTTCCGCGGCCTGTCGGACCAGCTCCATGCGGGACTGAAGTTGACGCTCGTACTTGTCCTTGTCGGATTGATGCTTTCCCTGCTCCGCCAACTTCAGAGACAGCTCCTTGCGAGAGCTGGTCATGTCCCTTTGAAGCTCGTTGTATTGGGTCTTATTTTCGTCCGCTTCCTCCTGGTATCGTGACATGCGCTCTTCGTACTGTTCAAGCGCGTTCTTGAGGTACTCGTCGTCCTCTGAGAGTTCCTCCAGGGTCATCTTGAGATCGGAAATGGCGCCCTCGCGGTAGGTGAGCTGATCCCGCTTGAACTTCAGATCGTTGACGATGCGGAGGAAACTGTTTGCTTGTTCGTGCTTCTCGCGAATCTGCTCTTGTAGGTCCTCCATCTCAGCCGACATTGTCTTGCACTTCGCTCTGGCTGCTTCAATCTCGGCCTCTAGCTCAGTAGCCCGCTTCTCAGCTCGGTCGCCTTTCTCCTTATTGATCCTGTCCTGCTCTTCAAAGATCTTGAGTTTGGACAGCTCCTCACCCTGCTTTTTCCTGAGGAGCTTCAGGTTGTCGACAGCCTTGGTGTATCGCATCGCCTCGAAAATCTGGTCGAACTGTTTCTTTAGCGCGGCAGGTTCGCTCATGGGCCAGAGGGACTCGTCCTGGTGGCAGAAGATGACGTAGTCGAGGATGGCTCGGGAGACACCAAGCTCTCTCGGAATCCATTCGTCCATCTGCGCCACTCTGCTGGAAGTGACTGTGCGCTCGCCATTGTTGTTGCAGGCCAAGGAACCCTCGAGGGTCTTGAGTGATCGCGTAGTTTTCTTGACGGTCAATTGAAGACTGCGAGTAGCAACGAACTTGAGGCCGCTAGTCGATGTGAAGGCGAGCTTGACCTGGGCTAGGACTTCCTTTTCTCCGCACAACTACAAACTGTCAGCTTGAGAAGGTTGGAGAGTTCTGGGTGGGTGGGTGCGTACCTTAGGGTCATGGACAAAAGCACCTCCTTTGCTGTTGGGTGGCTGCTCGCCGGTGGTGGCATACTTGAGGCACTCGATGATGGTCGTCTTTCCGGAGCCGTTGTATCCAACGATGAGAGTCAGAGGTGTGTAAAATGATATGGTTTCACGGCTGCCGCCGAAGGAGCGGATGCCCTGGACGGACAACTTATCGATCTTGGACATCGCGGGCAGTGCCTCGGAAGGCCGTTGGCCCGATTCGGATGATACTTTGGTAAAAAGAACAGTGTGAAGTTGAAGAAGGGTAAAGTAGATCAAGATCGAGGCGGATATGGGAAGAAGTTTATTTCGTGCTTGGAGGGGTGCACGGGATATAGTCGTTCGAGGTTGCCTTGGAGCAGGCTGCCATCGGCTTCTCGACGCGCAGCAGGCACGCACGCGTCGGGAACCTGGAAGGAGTGCACCATTATGATCGTGGTCTGATTAGATAAGATATGGATGGCTAGGTGTCAGATAAGACAACGATAAGACTCGGATCCCAATCCCTCCATCTTGATTTTTTTTTTTTTTTTTCTGCCAATGGTCGGGCTAGCTTACCTGGTAGACAGACCTAAGTAGGTAGGTAGCTAAGCTGGGCATAAAGAAGGTAAAATAACAGACATCCTGTGTTTCGTGTGCTAGAGCGACTACTTTTTCTGTGTGCTCGCTAACGTCGTTACCGTTGTAGCCGCTATCATAGTTGCTATCATCGTCGTCCCTCGTCGTCGTCCTCATCAAAGTCAAGTACACAGCAAATGTAGTCGCGTAGGCAGAGGAAAATTAGTTGGTCTCCAACTAAAAAGGCAAACAGCGGCAAGCAGTGACTCTAAGCAATGGCAAAGTAATAACAGGCGATGGCGACGACGTTGATCATACCTTAGCTTAGGCAATCAAGTAGGTCGTTTCCGACTTGCCCGGGCATGCTTGCACTGCACGGCGGTTCGGGTACATCAGGTCGCCAATTAAGGTCACTAACACTCATTTGTCTGCATGCATGACAGCAAGCAACGAGCTGTCAGACTCGAAGCTTCAAGATTTGGTTTGCTTTGTAAGTAAGGTAGCTCGAGATTAAGAAGAACGCACACGTTGCTCAAAGGTAAAAGGATACACACTGCCTTACATGGTGGATTGCATCATCTGACAAGCCAACCAACAGTCTTCCCTTACTTCGGACCAGACCACCACCACCACCACAACCACCTCGGTTCAACGTGGCAGTCAAACACCTCTCTTCATACAGTTGTCGCGTTCGACAACTGCACTCTATTTATTCATACCGACCCAAGTGAGCACGTAAGTGTGGTACCTTAGTGATGCACGACCCGAATACGTGATGCTGGGTACGGTGTTTCCAGAAGGCCGAGAAGGATCCACGGAAGTTGGCAATAATGCCTAACCGATTAAGGCAAAGCATCCAGCGCGGGCTCTAGCGGCAAAGCAGATCCACCGCGACCCAATTTGATGCCTCACGCAGCCAAACAGCAGCGGCGATGGTTTCTTTGACCGCCGTGATGCCGGGGCGTTTGCTCCGGACAGTGGCTCCGCAGGCGTCAGCCACAGGGGATGATCGCTGCGTAGAGCCCCTGGAATCTGAGCTCTGGAACCATTGCAATGGACAGCTGGACCGTGCAGTTCCCCAAGGCATGGGCAAGGCATGGAGACATGACGTGCCAGTGTAAGGGAGAGCACGCACCGTAGCAGGTGCTGGACGGCCCATTGGTGCGCTGGAAACTGCCCAATCCAGGGCGATTAGCAGCCCAGTTATCCCTCCTACAGCGGTGGCAGAGGTGCATTGTTAGTGGGAAGGCGATTGCGTAGGAGGTGCTCTTGGGCGGGGTGGAGGGGTTGTTTTTGCAGAATTCCATGTCCCGGACGCTCAAAATTGCCATATGCTCCATTTCCATTTTGCAGTTTCCCATGTTTTTTTTTCTCCCGTCCCCGTCCCCTTCCTTTTCGCAGGTCCCCTGGCATCCCACGCCGCTCCTCCAGCTCCCTTCCACGTCTTTACCCTGCTTGCCTGCACCTATCATGCCTGTGCCTGTGCCTGTGCCTGTGCCTGTACCTGTGCCTGCCCACCACACCTATCTAGTTTTTTTGGTGACGACGTGACTTGGTTTCCCTCACCTTCCCTACCGGCCATTTTCACAAATTGTTTCCTCTGCCCCTCGTCTTCCCATTTCTTGTCTTTTCCCTCTCCCCTCTCTCTGCACACCTCCCTCTCCATTCCTGGTCCCCTTTCGTTCACTCCCCTCGCTTCTTGCATCAACCCCGACAGTCTGCATCCTGCCCGCATCTCGCGCAGTGTCTCTGGCTTGCCGGCCAAGCTCGCGGTGATCCGACCTCGACGACCCTGACTGGACACGCCCCCCCGTGTCACGAAGCAAGTCAGCCCCGACAGACAGGACGAGACAACCTTACCTAGCTCCCAGCTGAGTTGTGTGGAATCCAGCCGACAAGACCTGCCTGCCCTGTCGCTGCTACCTCACTGGCCTTATCCGGTTGCTGCTATCTCTCTGCCTTACAACTGCTACCGCTACCGCTGCCCAAGTCTCGCATCGCTCCGCACCACACAAAGCCAGACTCTCAATCGGACTGGACTGGCTTCTCTCTCTTTCTCACTCACGCACTCTGTGCTAGTGGTCACCCAATACCCGCCCTTTATTAATGACTACAGGCCCCCATCCTCTGGAAATCTCTCGCACAGAAATCACCCTTCGATCAACCCTGGTCTTGGCGTCGCCCTCGTTGTCGTTGTTTTACGTCGCTTTAATGCTGCAGCAACCTCGCATCCTGGCGAAATTCTTCAACACCGGTCGCTATTCTGTTCCTGCCGCTGCGAATAGACCGTTCTGGACCAAAGAAAAAGAGATATGAAGGGCTGAGAAGTGCTCCCGTCGACGCACAACGCCCCATATCCCGTCCCGTATCCGTACCTTGGTCCTAGCAGTTTCTAGGCTCTGTCGGAGTCGAGGCCCTGCTCCGAAACTCACTCGTGCTTGCGAGCTGCTCGAGCCCAGCCCGAACCGATAGTCAACGTCCACGGCAAGCAGATAGGCATAGTCGCTTTCACCAGCCGTCGTCGCAAGAGCTGTCGCTGGTGCTCGTGCAGCTTACTGGGCCCTGCTGTTGCAGCTGCGTTGCTTGCTGCTTCTGTCGCGCTGCAGTGCGCATGGTGCGGTTCCAATCGAACACCCTACCGACGGATACCTCGCAGCACTGGAACTGATAGCCAGCATCGATACCTTATCGCGGTTTGAGTTGCCTGCCAACAGTCCACCAGGAGGCCCAGGCCTAGATCTATCTGGACTCGCACCTCAGCGCCGTGCCGCCGCCGCCGCCGCCGCCGCCGCCGTGACCACTACGAAGACGTCAATCTCAGTGGTCAATCGCCCCCCGGCGCACCATCCGAGTCGCTGAACAAACCGCCAAATGCCTTTGTTAGAAGCCGTCTGTGCCAGCATCAGTATTGGAACAATACCACCACAATCATGTCTCACGGACCACCTCAACCGCCCCCAGCCAATATGTTTGGCTTCGGGCCCCAAGACTTCTCTGCCTTTGATGCTGTTAGTTGCTCCCCCGCCCGCTGCCCGCCCGCTACCCGCCCGCTCCTCCTCCTCCTCTTGCTCCTCACAGCCTGATGCACATGGGACCTCACCGAACCAGCCCTTCCACCACTCTCGCTTACCTCTCCTCTTCCTTCACCTGACCCGCCGACCCCCGGCGCATTCCCTTTGAACCCCATCAAATGGCTACTTACCGCTCCCCAAGCCGTGCTGACGCAATGCAGATGGCCGAAGCCGACCCCAACATGATGTCTACTCTCCTAGACTCAACAATATATGGGAACTTCGATGCCATGTCCATGAACGTCGACAACCCCGGCGACGACAACGGAATGTCCAACTTCTTCGCTAATACCCCCATGCCCGACGGCCTGACCGACGATCCCTCCGGCATGAACACCAGCTATTCGAAAAATGGCGACGACGCATCCAGCGTTGTCGGAGGGGGGCCTCCGCCCGTTGGCGGCTTCAATTCTCAAGCTATGCAACAAGCGGGAAGCAGCACCCTGACCGAGTTCACGAAGCGACGAGGCTGGCCTGCCAAGGTCATCGAAGAGCTCAAAGATTTTCTTCAGATTCTCGACGCCAATGGTCGCATACGATATGTCTCCCCTAGTATTCTTAACTTAACCGGATACACCTCCGAGGAGATCATCGACACCTTCCTCAAGGATCTCGTACACCCAGACGACGTAGGCGTGTTTGTCGCCGAGCTGAACGAGTCGATTGCCTCAGGGAACCCTCTGCGCCTCTTCTTTAGGTTCAAGAAGAAGGATGGTAAATACGCCATCTTCGAGTCAGTCGGTCATGCCCATATCGCCGCCGCCAAGTTCGCCCCCAACCCGCACAACCAATCGCCCTTCTGTCAGGCCGTGTTTATGATGTCGCGCCTGTACCCCACAAAAAATGCAGGCCTGCTAGACACGTTCCTCGAGCACAAGATGGAGAACGAGAGGCTGAGAAGGCGCATTGCTGAGCTTCGCAGGGAGGAAGAGATGGAAAATGAAGAGTCGCAGAGGATATGGCAGCAGAGTCAGGAAGGCAGATCAGACGTAACTCCCTCAGAAACCACCATGACCACCTCCGCCCCGAGCGTATCGCGTAACGATAGCTCCAATGACCGTACTTCAGCACTAAACGTCGCGCTCACCCGGGAAGCTTTGGAGGGTGTCGCAGGAAGTCGTCCAGACTCACTGAAGGACAAGATGGCTCGATACGAGGGCGGTGCCTCGCATACCGATACCATCGAGATGTTGACAGGGTTGAGATATATCGAGGGGGAGAGAAGTCGTGGCATCACGACAGGAAATGCAAGCCCAACTTTGATCAAGGGCGATGCAGGAATTGCTATTCCTTTGGACCGGGATCCTCGGACAGGCGACAAAAAGAAGAAGCTTAAGACTTCGGAGGAATACGTCTGCACGGACTGCGGTAGGCTTCATTCTAACCAAACGACAACAGTTGTGTTCATTCTGACGATGTCAAACAGGTACCCTCGATTCACCCGAATGGCGTAAAGGCCCGAGTGGCCCCAAGACGCTATGCAACGCTTGCGGGCTTAGATGGGCTAAGAAGGAGAAGAAGAACCGCCATGGCGGCAGCAATAATGCAGCGGGTTCACTGGCAGTCGAGCACTCCACGGGGGCTCACAGTTAAAATTAGTTAATGGGTCGACGCTGCCGCATCTATCGACATGTGCCCGCGGAGAGAGGGAGGCGGAGGAACTTCATGATGTCCACCGGCGTTGGAGTCTGGAAGAGGGCACGGCGCAGCTATGACTATGACGAACATACGGCCGTCCGTTTTGTTTTCAGCCTTTTTTTGCAGCAACCGAGATACCTAAACACGACACCAGGTCATGGGACAAGGAGCGCGAGATTTCAGATGGGCAGTCTCAACAGCGAAATTCAAGCCATGTTGCTTTCAATTACCAGCCGCCCGCCAAGCCTGATGCTGCTGGTGGCATCGAATTTTGTCGGCTTGGCGGGCCCTCGCGGGCTAATTGTCTATTTTGAGGCGGTTCGACTGGCGGTCAGCCAAGACCCTGGCCAGACAGGACGGACTGCAGAAAAAGTGATATCTAAATGGAGCCTCTCAGATGAGGGGCTTCCAACGATGCGTCTCGTTGGTCACGGCGGCTGTGAGCATGCCCACTGTCTACCACTGAGTGAGTAAGCCCAGTCATGGACGACCTCAGCTTTTTGTCGAACATGACAGTGTAGGGTGCCTTGAGAGTCACTTTTGACCACTACTATCGACACACTTGTGCTGCTCATAGACGTCTACAGGAAGGCCGGTAGGTTCCTGAAACAACTCGTTTGCGCTGAGCCCTGAATACTGCTGAACAGGCTCCGACCTTGCATCCAGGACAAATCAGGCCATCCCAGCACGGGAGCCATGATTGGACGGGACGAGCATGCACCTGCGGATGCGACCATGGTGGTTGATCTTGAATGGGGCGGGTGGGACTCCGTAGCACAGGCACATCAGACGTGGAGGGGGCCAGGCACACGCAGTGCTGGTCATCAGTCAACCCACGAAGCCGGATGGGAGACGACGTTTGTATCGTAGGCGCGAGCTGTTGAACCAGTCTTTACGCCAGGTCTGCTGCGTCACTGGTAACAATCTTCACGAAACGGGGCGCGCTAGGCATGGCAGCTGAGAAACGCATGTTGCTCCCCTCTATGGCTGCAACGCGCATCAGCCATTGGCTCGTTGGATATTCCTCGTCGCAGCTGCTGGTGTGCATGGCCAACTCAGGGTGTCCTGAGACAATTGATCGCCCGTCTGTCCTGCGGAGACGTGGCTGGCCTTCCAGCTACAAGAGCTTGCAACCCAGGCACATGTAAATCCCTCTTCTCTTCCTAACAAGAACATATACTGCTTCATATCTTTGCATCTTCGCAACCACATATCACGTATCATACACAACAAACATGGACAAGCTCGCAGACCTCGCGCAGTCAAAGGTGCAGGCGTACCTGAACAAGGACGACGACGACAAGCCGTCGCAGCACCAGTCCTCCTCGCAGGGCTACGGTACGCGCTGCCCAAGCTTACCCTTCCCCTACCTACCTTTACCCCGCCATCCAGATGTCCCAGTGCCGGCAGGCGCCCCCTATTACCCCGCGCCCCTCACCCAGCGAGAAAGCTTGTTACTGACGATAGTGTGTGAATTGCCACGCAACAGGCCAACCTCTTCCTGGAGGCGACAGTAAGTTTTTGATGTTTTGCATTTTATTTACTTTTTTTGGTTTCTGCGGTCCCCCCTAGTCTTCATCCAAACATCGGTTTATCTATTGTAGATCTTCCAGGGGTTTGTCAAGATTGCATTTTATGAGGGATTGGGAGGGGGGCTTGTTTTGCCGAGAGAAAGAACCCGCATATTTTTTTTCTTTGCTTTTGCAGAGAGACATGAGAATTGTTCACAAAGTTTCCCGAAGCTGATTATTCGACGCGCAGAGGCTCACGGCGGCAACTATCCCGCTGGCGGCGGCGCATTTCCCGACGACGACGATGACGATTATCGACAGGCCGCCCACCAGGCCTCGCGCCACGCAGGTTCCAGCGGCGACGCGGACCTGTTCTCAACTGTATTGGGCGCCTTGACGCAGAAGAAGGGGCAGTTGGCTAATGAAGATATTGATGAGGACGGTATGTGGTGGCACTCCTGCGATCCTTGCGTTACTACAGAGTTATGTTGCCTGTGTTATGTGTTGCGATGCTCATACTCAAATGTTTATTTTGGTAAAAACAGATGCCGTCAAGAAGCACAAGAAGTTCTTTGGCGACGACGACGACGGCGAGAAGGCGGACGACAAGGGCCTTGGTGCCGCGGCCGCGATGCAGGCGCTCAAGATGTTCTCGAGCGGCGAGACGGGCGGGCAGAAGCAGAGCCAGGGCGGGTTTATGGGACTTGCCATGGCGGAGGCTAGTCGGGTGAGTCTTTATTTTCTCCATTCCACGCTGGAGACGGGATGGCTAACGCGTGAGTGTGTGTTCCAGTTGTTCGACCAGCGCCAGTCGCAGGGCAAGGTCGCAGAGGGCACGAGCAAGGAGTCGGCGATCCAGCAGGCCGGCGAGATGGCGCTCAAGATGTATTTCAAGAGCCAGGGAGAGCAGAAGGGTGGGTTTATGGGCTTGGCGTCCAAGTTCCTTACCAAGTGAGGACAGGGCTCACATTCTGAGAGCAGGGGGGAGAGCTCATTTGGTACGATGTGATGATGACGATTATGGATGAGAGCGGTAGACGCGACAGCTACTTGCCTCTTTGTACTGTCTTTAGCGCTTGATAGAATTCCGGTTATTGTTGTCCAAACACCACAAGAATATGACGTGATATATCACAATCCCTCTTCCCCCGATTTTCTTTTCCACAATAAGTGCAGCACTGTTTTTAGATGTTCTTCTTGGCTTCGAGACCCCCGTTCTTGGTCATCTCAATCACGTCCACCCAGCCCTCGGGCCTCTGCCGGCCCTCCTTGTGCAGATACGTCTCCGCCTCGCGCGCCCAGCCGAGCAGCTGCTCCTCGCATCCCCACTCCGCCATGGCCATCAGCCCGACGGGGATCTTGCCCTCGCCCTGAACGGGGTCGACGTAGCCGACGGGGGCGGTGACGGCGGGACACCCGCTGACGTTGGCGACGTAGACGTAGCTCATGTTGGCGATGGTGGTGTTGGTGTCGGAGACGCCGTAGGCCTCGTCGCCGGGGTGCTTGGGCCAGCCGGGGAGGGGCGTGGTGGGGGTGACGACGAGCATGCCGGGGTTCTCCTCGAAGAGGTGGGCGAGGTGCTTCATGAGCAGGTCGCGCAGCTGGTTGTACTTCATGTAGTCGCCGGCGGGGGTCTGGGTGCCAACGGACATGGTGACCTTGTTGGCGTGGTTGATGATGGACTGCCAGGCGGCCGGGTCCGGGTGGCGGTGGCGGGCGAGGTCCTGCATCTCGGTCACGCAGGTGGCGGAGTGCATGAGCTGGATCTCGCGGAGGTAGGGGATGCGGATGTTGACGACGGAGTAGCCCTGGGACTTGAAGTTGTCGACGGCGGCGCGGCAGATGGAGGCGACGGGACCTGAGGCCTTGGACCACCACGCCTCGTCGATGGCGATCGTCTTGGGGGCGGAGGGCGAGGGCGGGATGGACGGGGTGTAGAGGCCTTGGATCGGGTCGTCGGGGTTGGGCCGCGACATGAGGCGGTAGGCGATGGTGAGGTCGGAGACGGTGGCGGCGAGGGGACCGACGACGCACATGGAGGAGTTCATGGCGCAGGTGCGGTGGTGGGAGGGCTTGAGGCCGTAGATGCCGTTGAAGGAGGAGGGGATGCGGATGGAGCCGCCGGCGTCGGTGCCGATGGAGATGGGGACGATGCCGGCGCCGAGGGCGGACCCGCCTCCGGAGGAGGATCCGCCGGGGTAGTAGGACTTGTTGTGCCAGTTTGTGGGCGTTCCCCAGCGAGGCTACGAGGGTTAGCAATGGTAATCAATGGGAGCTAGGTTTGTTCCTCACGTTGCAGCCGTTGGTGTCTGCGTGGGAGGTTAGCTTGCGCTTATACTAGATGATGTGAAAGGGGGTTTGTGACTGACCACCACCGAGCTCATGCATGGCATTCTTGCCTAGGACTATGGCACCGGCTGCCTCGAGCTGTTCGACAGGCCACCAAGTCTTTTCGGCGGGCTTGAACCAGGGCAGGTCGGGCCGGTACTGCATGCCGTTGTGGCTGACGTATCCCTTCACGTCGATGTCATCCTTCACTCCAATGGGAACACCGTCGAGGGGTCCCAAGGACTCGCCGCGGCGCCATCTTTCGGTGGAAGCTCGGGCAGCGTCGATGGCGAGGTCTTCGCGGCCGTGGGATGCCACCCAGGCGTTCGCATACGGACCCGTCTGAGGCGGCGGGTGGCCCTCGGCGCGTCGGATCAGGGGCAGCAGGGCCTGAACGACGTCGAGCGGGGTGACGGCGCCCGTCTTGTAGAGGGCATGGTAGTCTGCGCTGGAGAGGTAGCGGGCCGGCTGGTCTGCTGGGGCCGGGGTGGTGACCTCTGCGGAGAAGGGAATGGGCTCCGGGTGGGATCCCGTCTCGGAGAGACAGATGACGTCGGGCTGGGGACTGGGTTAGAGTCTACGACCGAATCAAGGTCTGGGCATACCAACGGCGAAGCGGTATCTGTAGTCATCTAGGCCTGGAAGGTCCCTAATGGAACCGAATTTGGCGTTGCTCCAGAAGAAGCGCTGGACGGCGCCGGAGTTTGCAAGACTGTGTTGGAGGTTAGCCAGTGGGCCATGGGTGACAATGAGCGACTGAACGTACATGGTTGAGCCAGCGACTAGAGGCCAGCCGCGAAGGACGGGGTTCTGATCCTCCTTCTGGATGTTGGTGTTGACCTGGGTCGGGCCCTCCCGGGCGCCGGGGTAATTGGCGTATTTGCGGTTCGGAGCCATGATCCCGGACTCAATTGAGGTTTAAGCTGTGTTATTCTCTAGTCCCTTCGTTCCACAGAGAAGCTGGGCCGTACGTTGCGATGGAAGCAGTGGTGACGGTCAAGCAACTATCGTGGAACACGAGAAGGAAAGGACGAGGGGCTGAAGTAGAGTGCACCGCGAGGCGGAACACAGGATGAAATGACCGTTCCTGCTATTACAGCTCAGGCAACCGGCATCAGATGCCGTTGGGAAGACGTTGGGGGCGGGAGCTTTGAAGTTCAGGCTCGGCTGGAGCTTTAGAGTTTCGGAGCTTGGGGTAAGGTAAGGTAGGACGGGGGAGAGTTGGAGCTTTGCAGTGTGTTGGTTGTGTCGTCTCTGCCTCACCAGCGAACGGACGGACGTTGGGTTGCCGTGGGATTCTCAGAGTGCTTGGGCTGTCTGCCTTTGGGGCGAAAATGGTTGATGAAACGAAACAGATTCGGGGCTCTAGATCTCTTAGCTTGCACTATCTTGGGTAGGTTGCTACAGATCTGGCTGTCGATGTTTGGTACGGGAGCGACGCCAGTGTCTCCCGTCACGTCCCATTTCCACTCACTCGGGATCCACTGGAGCCACAAGAAGCTCTACACTGTATCCTTTCCTCACAGCGCCGAGCTTACCTAGCAGCTGAAAGCCCCATATTTCAGCAGGTGCGATAGCCTACCAGCGAGGTAATGCAGGGATGATCATCTTCGCAGGAGCTTCCTGCCTCGGCATGGCAAGTGGTGCGAGCCGTCGGGAATATTCTGGGTAATAAGCTTGTGAGGCAAACGAAAGTAAGCAATGCAGCACGGCCAGATGATGCTCACCTCATACAATAACAGCCACGTTCAGGAACGAGGGAGGTGGCTCTGTCAAGGACATGATGCACCGATATGTGCAGCCCGGCTGTTTCCATCACTGGGCCCTATTAAGTCTGATGCCAAGTTTCTATTTGTATCCCGTCCGCAGTCTGTCTCCGTGCCGTGCAGACCGCTCCAGCGTCAGAAAACGCTGCAAGCGGTCTGATATCCATTCGTCCCTCTGCCTGAGGTAAGGTAGGTAGTAGGTAGGTGCCTTAGTTCATCAGGTACCTAGTCTTCTAGTCTTACCTTAGGTCAGCGCTATCGATAAGACCCAGACCGCTCTACGGAATACACGTACCTGAGCTCTCACCAGGTCGGTCGATTCATCCAGCCGATCTCCCGCCGGTCGGACTGTGATGTCTGGGACACCACTCACGCGACCTGGAGAACACTTAGCGCCTACCCCGTCCGCCAAGCCATTATCACCACGAACATGTCCATTCTCTGCTGGGATATTATAGCTTCAGTGTTAATCGCAAGGGGTACCTACCTAGTACGCTACTTACTCCGCAGATACCACGATGTGAAGGCGCAAGATGGGGGTTGCATCGCTTAGATTGTGAAATGTCACAGGCGCCGAGGTCACCCGTTTCGCCACGGGAAAACAGATAAGATGCTCAAACACGCGCTCCGCGACGGGACGCCTGCGATTTCAGGGTCCCCCATGATCAACGAACTCCCACGATGGCCCGGCTTGTGGGCGCTAGGGGCGTCAGCGTTTGTGTTTTGACACATTTACCCCGCCATCCCACTATGAGCAAGCTCTGAAGCTAACGCGGCGCGCGGCGGACGGGAATGCTTCGACAGGAGCCTCTGCGAAAGAGCTTGTCTACCGGATGGCTTGTAGTCGGACGACGGGATGAAGCCTCACCGCAACTGGCTCGGCGGGGGGCATCATTATTCAGCAGATGAAATATCACATGGGGAGCAGGAGGAGAAATCGAGTGTGACCTGAAGGAGCCAATCCATTGACTCTATACTTCTACATACGGCCCGGCTTTCCACTGTGGGAAGCAGTCTGCCTGTTCTAGGCCAGACGAGCCCGTTTCGCTTGCTTGATCGCTCGCTCGAACCAAACGCCGTCCCAAACCAAAGGTCCCTCCTCGAATGCCCTTGGGCCGAGGTCGGAGTGCCTTCCAAAGTCTGTCCAAGCCGTTTCCAACGGCACCCAAGCGAGTGTCCTCCCTTCCTTTTCCTGGGGGAGGTGATGTGTGGTGGTGTCTCATGCCAGAGAGAGAGAGAAAAAGATTCCGAAAACGCCATGCCGATCCATAATATAAAACGAAGGAAACAGAAACCTTTTTCTTTTTTTGCTCATCTGCCCATGCCGATACTTCGTGTGAATGCCGTTCATAATCGTGGGGTGTGAGAGCGTGAAATAGTGATGAAAGGTGCCCAAGCCTCTGAAAGGGCACTGGCAATGTCGTAAAAGGAGGCATTGCGCGTGAAAGGGCGGTGTGTGGTGTTTGGGGGTATATGGTGAATGTGAAAAATGCAGGTGACAAGTTCTGTCTGCCCGTGTCATGATGATCGAATCTGTCTTAATCATGCTGGAAGCGGTCGCTTGTGTATCATGTTCCGTGATGGTTGAGATATGTGGCGTCAGTTGCGTTGGATCCGCCCCTGAGAGAGGGATCCTCTGCAACTTGACGTGACAGATCAAGAGTGGGCGTAGAAGGATATGTAGAGAGAAGTTTAGCGCTTGGCCATGTTGTTCAGCCGCAGAATTCTGGTCCGGAACCACAAGACGAAGCTGGTCCAGGCACCCTGAGTCTTGCGCTTGGCTGTCAAGGAGCGGCGAGGACCCTCGAAGGTGCTCTGGTCAGCAACAGGCGCCTGGCCTTGGTTGGTACTCTCGTAGCTG